CACTGTAGAGATTATGGGTGATGGAATGAACATTTGCAGCTTGCTCTAAAAGGTTCAGAAAAAAATATGATAATGGGTATGTATTTACACACGTATGTAATATATGTATGGAGACAGAGAGAGCAAGAGAGAGAGAGCGAGCAGGTGATGGAACAAATGCAATAAAAAAATTAACAATAGTAGAATCTGAGCGAAGGAGTACTTTGTACTGTTTTGGAATCTTTTCTGAAAGTTTGAAATTATTTCAAAATAATAAAATGTGAAATAAAGATGTAATATAGAATATCTAGTGCTAGAACAAACAATAATCATTATTGTCTGAGGCCATGACAGAGTGAAAACCCTTTTTAATATGTTTATTTACGTACCTTCCTTTACAATGTTCTGAGGCGATACATTAATAAGGAGGGAAATGTTTTTATGTCTATTTATAGAAGAGCATCTCAATTTTTTCTTTTCATGGACTTTAAACAGGCATTTTACAGTTCAATGAGGAAAGGAATCTTGACTTATTCATCTTTGTGGTCTCAGCACCTAACACATTATAATTTAATCATTGTTCTGTCTTTGAACAGTAATTCTACACGCAACATTGTTCCAATCAGAAAACTCTTGAACAATAATAGATACAGAGGCAGAGTTGCCTCAAACAGACTGTTAGGCTACAGCGGGAGGGGCGGGGAGGGTGGGGGGGCTGGAGGGCGGGGGTAAGAGATCAACCAAAGGACTTGTATGCATGCATATAAGCATAACCAATGGACATAAGACACTGGGGGGTAGGGGAAGCCAGGGGATTGTCAAGGGCGGGGAAAAAAAAAGGAGACATATGTAATACTCTTTGTAATAATTTAAGCAATAAAAAAATTAAAAAAAAAAAAAAGAAAAATACAGTGATCTGATTATCAAGGACTCTGCTACAATGGGAGGGAGAAACTGCCTAGGTCAAATTAAAATATGTATATCAGACTGAGCATAGAAAAATATCAAGAATTACCTTTCTGCCCTAACCGGTTTGGCTCAGTGGATAGAGCGTCGGCCTGCGGACTCAAGGGTCCCAGGTTCGATTCCGGTCAAGGGCATGTACCTTGGTTGCGGGCACGTACCCAGTAGGGAGTGTGCAGGAGGCAGCTGATCGATGTTTCTCTCTCATCGATGTTTCCAACTCTCTATCCCTCTCCCTTCCTCTCTGTAAAAAATCAATAAAATATATATTAAAAAAAAAAAGAATTACCTTTCTTAGAAACTTAGAGGAGGAATAATTATTTTCCCTACAGTCCTAAAACAGAAGAGTGTGTAACCAGTAACAAAAGGTCTTAGCCTAAAGAATGGCAAACTGTTGAGTTTTTGGTAAAAAAAATAAAAATAAAACAAAATAACAATTTTAGAATACATATGGGGCTTTTGGTGAAAAGAGTTGACAGTGGAAGACCATCCTTAAAAAATGTGAGAGGGTCTGAAAAATTATTAAAATGAAACATATGAAAGTGCTAATAAAGCATTATCTTATTAATAGATGAGTATGATCATTTATAAATGTGAAAGAATATATTTTCATTACAGAAACAGAAACTCTCCAAGGCATTTAGATAGATGTCAAAATTAAACTAAAAAAAAAAAATTACAGCTAAATAGACTTCATATACCTCAATACTCTGTCCTTCCTAAAGAATACACACTTTTTTTTTTTAATACATGTTATAGACCCTGGATCTCCTTGCTGAATTAGTAAAAAGGAGTTATGTATGCCTGAAGACTGGTTATGGTTAACCATAATAAACGTCAGAAGTGACTTTCCAAAGGTTTAAACAACTGAAAATTACATTTTGATAACAATTCATCTGCTTTAGAAAACAAAAGTTACCAATATCTCATAAAAGTAGAATTATTCAATTTAAAGCATTATTAGGGAACTTAAAAACTGTTATAACTATATTACAACTTCTTCCCCATAAGGAGAAACTGTAAGGTCAAAACTTTTCTAGCATATTATAAATAAAACAAAATTTTGCATTACTGTAAACCAGAATCTGTATGGCTTGGGGTTTTTTGGTACGGTTTTTAAATGGAGATAAATATACTTCTTAGAACTGTTCTAAGAACAAAATGAGATCATGTATATAAAGGACTTAGCATGGTGGCTAGCAAGAATTAAGCACATAATAGTATTTATTGTGTTTCTTCTTTTTTTAAAAAATATACTTTTACTGATGTCAGAGAGGGAGAGGAAGGAAGATAAAAACAACAATGATGAGAGAGAATCATCCATCAGCTGCCTCGTGCACACTCCCTACTGGGCATGGAGCTCACAACCTGTGCCCTCACTGGGAATCTAACAGTGACCTCCTGGTTCATAGATCAATGCTCAACCATTGAGCCACACTCGCCAGGCAATTGTGTTTATTATTATAGCAAGGATGTGAAACAACCCTAAAATACAGTCAAGTGACTTAAAAACCTATTAGAGAAATCTGTAAAGGCAGGTGGATAGACTCATAGTTAAATATCTAAATTTGGCAAATTCAGTGAGGAAAGCAATCTGAACTTACTTATCCTTGTAGTCCCAGAATCTAACAACAGTGCCTGGCACACACAGTAGGTATTCAATAAAGGTTTACTGAAATGAAGTGAGTATGAAGTTATCAGGAAAGGGAAAAAAAAGAGGTAGTCTGAGGTTGTCTGAAAAATAAATAGTCCAAAAATTACTATGCCCTAAGCAAGTCACTTTGAGAAAGAAAATAAAATACCTAAGCATTTTCAGAACCATGCATAAAAATTCACCTCACACTGGTCTTTTTAATAATGACTGAGCCACTCTCAAATCTGTTTTGGCAAATGTGTCACATAAAAAGTCTAATATTAGAGAGTATTTTTAAATTTCATCTAAAAAAAAAATGTTGTGCACATCCTGAAAGATGGAAAACGTACCCAAAGCATTGAGGAATCTTTTCTAACTTCCAGTCAAGGAGAATCAGATAAGTTTAATTCATAGCTCTAAGTTGTAAACACACATATTTCACTTTCACAAGTTCAAGTGCACACCCCAGAAAAGAAAGAAAATCACTTATTCCAAAAGTGGGCAGTACTAAAGTATAAAAGAGTATCTAACAAAACTCTCCCATGTCTCAGCAGTCACCTGTTAGAGCCCACACTTAGGCACAGTCTACTCAAGGTCTTAGAAACCCTTGGTATTGAAGATTCAAAGTTCTCAGTGTCGTGGGCAAGGAAAAAAGTGTAATATGAAAATACAGTCCTATCTTCCGTACCTTTGTCCAAGAATAATAGGGCTCAGTAGGCTTTTTTTAAAAAGACCTTTCCAAGTTACTGTCTACCACCTCACTACAGCACCACTCTTTTATTTTTCAACGTGGGTATGCGCCCTGACCTGATGCCTGCGACCCTTCGGCGCACTGGACAACACTTCAACCAACGGAGCCACATGGACCAGGGCAGCACCACACTCTTCTTGTTTGGAAACTGATGGACTTTATGAAGGGCACACTTAATAATACACTCAACTTCATATAGTGCTCGGATCCTGAACCCGGTCAGTAAAGTACATTTCCAGAGAGACAGCTGGAGCTGCATCTCCTGAGCCTACTTCAAACTAAAATCTGTGAACAGTCTCAAGTTGCAAATCAAATAACAGTCCCAAATCAACTGCTTGAAGGTTTTGAAAAGAAACAAAAAAATCATCATTAGACACATCTACCTTTAACAAAATGACAATGTTTTCAGAAACAAGAAGCAATGCTAACAGGCAATGTTACAGAAGTTTACAGAATAACAAAAAATCTGCAACACAGAGTAAAATTATTCTTAAATTATCATTTGCTTCCAATGGTGCCTTGAAAAGTATCAAATGCACGAAGGCATGTAAGAGCTATTGTCCAGTCACTGACAGCATTAAAATTATTTTTAAATCTAATTTCTGCAGTGGCAATTTAAAAAGCCAATCAAATTTTAATGAGAAAAAATGCCTAGTCCCAAATCTGGAAATACAGTTAATTTTTTTTTTTTTTTAACTAAGAAGCAGGGAGGTCATAGCACCAAGGTGTGTAACATCTGTCGGTGGTTGATCCAAACGAGTAAAAATTTTAAAAAGGGCCTCTCTGGAATTAAAGATTTAAAATAATATCTTACCAAATATAATCTGATACAAATCCTTAAAAATCACTTCAGTGGGATTTTTGTTTTTTACCACTAAGGAAACAAAACCTTCCCATCGATTTTCACATCATTCACACACTTTGTAAATTAAGAACTAAATTCCAAAACACATTTGAAACATCAGACTTTCGTTTTCACATCCATTTATCAGATTTACTCTTAAAGCCCTTGTGGACGGGGTCTTTATTTCAATACAAGGTTGTTCAATATTCCACTCCGCGGGAACGGAGCTTGCGAGACTAATTCTCCAAACCTCCTCGGGAGATGGTTCATTACGGCTCTCGTTCCAATTTCCCGAGCCTCAAAGCAGCCACGGAGAGCACGCGGCTGAGAGGAAGGAGGGTCCAGGAAAGAGGCCCATTCTTTTGTTTTGGTGGCAAAAGCTCCAAAAAAATGAAAGTCACACGAGCCATCTGCACCGATCCCCACCCATCGCAGCCCTCCCTGCGCGGCACTTCCATCCCTCCGCCCGAGACTCCGGCCCGCGAAGACCCGCAGCCTTTCCACGTCTCAAAGGATGGGCGGGGGAGGCCGTGAAGACTGGGGTGCAGGAAGGAAAAGGGGGGACACCGATCCTTTGAGGACAGGGACCAGGAGGGGCATCCAGAACGGGGAGGATGGGACGCGCCGCGGAGGCTGGCACATTCACCGGGAGAAGAGCGCGGCGGGGCCGACGGAGGAGCGGCGACCGGCGGGCAGCCCTCCGCGAGAGCAGGGAGGCAGGCAGGTTCGTTGGAAGCTGGGGAGGGCGTGAACCGGGCAGCGCGGAACCAGGAGCCCCCAATGGGTTGCGTGAGCCTCAAACAGACCCGTACGGCGAAGCGGAGACTTACGGTTATTTCCCGGGCCGAGGGTGAGGGTGAGGGTCGGCAGGACCCCGCAGCTTCGCCACCGCCGCGGCCGCCCCAGCCTCTCCCGCGGAGTCCGTGACCTCGGCTACCCTCCCCGCCCCACCCACCCGGACGGGCGCCCCCTCTTCGCCCGCCCGGGTGCGCCCGCCGGGCGGAGGCTGCTGGGACCGAGGGTGCGCACCGGAGACCCGGGGGAACGCTGCGTGAGCCGGAGGCGTCCGCGCCGAGGCTCCGTCAGCAGGCGCCCCCCATACCCTCGCCGGCCGCCGCGCAGCCTTTACTCGCGGGAGGGGAAGAGGGGGCGGTGGCTCTTGCCTCCGCCTCGCGGTCAAGTCCGGCTCATGCTCCAGCCTGGCGCGCGCGCGCCCAGCCCCGGTCCTCTTCCCGTACCCGCCCTCGCTCAGCTGCGGGCGCACCCGCCGCCGACACCCGAGCCTCCCGCCACCGGCCCCAAACGGCCCGCAGCCCCGGCGTGAAGCAGCAGGTAACGGCCGCAGCTCGGTTGCCGACCCGGAAGCTCTTCCGCCGCCACCCGCGAGGCTGTCACGGGTGTGAACCCGGAAGCGATTCCCTCGCCCCGGTAGCGGCGGGATGGAAAGCGAAGGCCTGTGACTATCTGGAAACCCCTAGCTCGGGAGAGGGTGAGGCGTTTATGGTGTTGAGGTGCGAAGAGAGGGCAGGACAATAAACGGCCCGTGGGCTAGAGGTTCTCCAAGCCCCAGACCTCCGAGCTCTGGAGGCGCGGGGTCGAGAGCGCGGCCGGACACATCCGGCAACTTCGCGGGCGCCCCAGGGTTTTCCTGTCACAGGAAGTTGGGCCCGGCCGCTGGGAAAGGGAAGGGAAGGAGGAATGAGACAGCGGGACGGTCCCCCGCCCCCAGGTGGCTGTCCCACCCCGTGAGGCGAATGTAGCGGCCTGGGAGGTGCTCGGCCGCCCGCACGGGTGAGACGTGGAGCTGCACGATCCAGACTCCAGCGAGAAAGCAGAGGCGGGAGGCTGGACTATCTCCGCATCTGGTCTCTCCAGGCAAGGAATTTATTTCTTCCCAGCGGCCAACGCCCCTGGCTGGGTGGCAGCTCTCGGAGCGGAGAGGCGTGCCCGGCCGCCCCCGGTGCTGTGGTACTGCCCCGCCCGGGCGGAGTGTTTATTGTTGTCATGTCTGGGAAACCTGTGCACCGCACGCCGTCCCGCTCAGCTCTCCGCGCTGCGCCTCTCTCCATCTTTTAGAAGCTGTGCGCTGTCTGGGTTTGCTTTTAACCGCACCAGCAGTCTGACCGAGCTGGCCCAGCTCTCTCTCTCTTCCATTCTCATCTCACCCCAGGAGAATGGATGTGTCTTCACCGTTTCTCCCTTCGTCTTTTCACGGTTTTGCTGTCCTCATCTCATTTGGAGGAAAGGTCAAAAACTCAAAAATGTTTTCATAGCAATATAAAACAGTTCATCCCATGATCTTCTTTTTCTCTTAATGTTTCCCCCTTAGAATTGGGTTATAGAGAACCACAGTAACAACTAATATGTAGCATATTTAGATAATCTAGGGATATGGTGCTTTCCCCAAATAAGCTCATTAAATGTACTTGCTGTTCACTGTAGATATTCACTTGGTTGCCAGTTTCACTTATTACTTAGTTCCTTCTCTGTTAGCCAAATTTAGTGCAATTGCCTTCGAAAGCTATTTGAAGATTATCAAATATCTTAAATTGAAGAGTAGAATGCCACTTAAAAGAATTCTAAAATTATCAGTGAGGTTTATTGATAAGTGACGAAGTGAACGGACAAGGAGAAATCAAGCTGAGGAGCAGCAGCGCTAGTGGGTATTGTCTATTCGGCTTTATTATTACTTCCTCTCTTTGTATTGCCATTAACCAATTTAAGAATGAGGTTTTTATGGTCAAAAATCCCTGTAGGGGAATTCCTGATATTTAGTTCCCATCTCTCCTCTTTAATGTTATAATGCTTTAAAATAGTGGATTTGTTTCAGGAGAATGGGGAAGGGCAAGTAATTTAGACACTCTACTTGTTTTTTCATCTGTAAAATGGGGATAAAAATAATCCCTACACCATCAGATTTGGGGGGGGTGGAATAAAATGAATTATGGAAGGCACTTAGCACAGCATCTAGCACAAAATAAGCATTATAGGTGTTAACTATTTCTAATCTTTTAAAAGTATATTAAATTAAATTTAGAAAAATGAAAGCAAAAAAAATTAAAGGCAACTTGATAAAAGTCATTTTGGCTGGTAGGGATAAAAACAAAATGCATTTTATTATTTTCAACTATGGACAGTAAGGTTTGTGGGTTGCTTTGGTTATTTAAAGGTGGCATGGATTTTGTTGTTTTTGTTTTTTTAATCCTCACCAGATGATATGCTTATTTATTGATTGGAGAGAGAGAGAGAAACATGGATGTGAGAAACATCAATTGGCTGCCTTCCTTATGGCCCCTGGGCATGAGCCCTGAGCAGGAATCCAGCGTCACTTTCCAGTGTATTGGATGATTCTCCAACCAACTGAGCCACACCAGCCAGGGCTTGACATGGGTTTTAAAGATTGAGAAACATTGCTGAAGGATGGAGGAAGAGAGAGCTTTCTTTTTGGTCTCAGGAACATCTTATAGAATCCTAAGATAATGTGCTTTTGGGCGAGGGGGAGATGGGGAGGTATTTATGAAGATATATTTTCTGATTATTGGTAATTTCTATTAGCATGTAGTTTACAAACTGGTAAATAAATCATCTTGTTGACTTCAACTTCTGATACGAAATTTATGATCCTTATATTCACATACTGATTCTTCACTGCAAAAGTCTTAAGTTTGCACTTCTGTACTCTATTTAGCAGATGTTTCTTATTAAAAGACATTGGCATTTTGTTAAATAGGACTGAGTAGCATAGTAGAGAGCTGTTAACAAACCTGCCTATTGGGGACTAAATGGCCATACGTACACCTCCCTTCCCCCAGTCATAGTGAAAGGCCTCTATGTATTTTCTTTTTAAAAAATATATGATTTTATTGATTTCAGAGAGGAAGGGAGAGGGAGAGAGAGAGATAGAAATATCAATGATGAGAGAGAATGATTGATCGGCTGCCCCCTGCCGCCCCACACTGGGGATGGAGCCTACAACCCGGGCATGTGTCCTGACTGGGAATCGAACCATGACCTCCTGTTCATAGGTTGATGCTCATCAATGAGTCAAACCGGCCAGGCCCCTATAGATTTTCAAATGATCCCAATTAGGTACTTTTTTAGGTAGCTTTGAACAAAGAGACATGCATGTCCTTTCCCAGTAGTGGATGTTATGGGAGGATGTTAATAGGTGGTTCTCCAATTGAGAACCACTTCTGCATATTTGTAAGGCCTCATTATTTAGGCAGCATATCATCATTTATGTCTAAGCATTTTTCTGAATAGAATGAAGCATATAACAAAATGCCACATATTTCCTATACTTAGTAACTTGAACCCTTATTTAAAACCCAGTCTAAGCATATTGCAAACTCTAGTTATAGCTTAATTATTTTTAGCTCAAGTTAATCTCCAAGTCCCCTCACATTTGTTTCTGCCTTGGCAGTTTTGCCTTCATATATTAGTAGCTTTTATTCTTTTCCTAACTTAAGCCTTTGTTTCCTTTTTTCATGTTACTGGAAATATGTATATTAAGAATATTCAAGTATGAATATTTCTTGAAAATCAATTTTCAGAATCTTTTAGGGTTATATTAACATTAAATGATGTAAAAACAAAATACTATATAACCCTCATGGCAATGTCTTTTATTATATCACATCTGTTTATCTTTTAGAGACGTGATGAGCATTGATAAAGCATTTTCCTTATAGATACATATTTTTTCTAATATGAGTTGACCAGCACAAGAATTTATTTGCTTTAAATAGTGTTTAGCCCTAGCCGGTTTGGCTCCGTGGATAGAGTGGCTGCCTGCGGATTAAAGGGTCCCAGGTTCGATTCCATTCAAGGGCATATGCCCAGATTTCGAGCTCGATCCCCAGTGGGGGGCATGCAGGAGGCAGCCGATCAATGATTCTCTCTCATCATTGATGTTTCTATCTCTCTCTCCCCCTTCTTTCCTCCCTGAAATCAATTAAAAAATATATTTAAATAGTGTTTAGAAACTACGAATTACTTGTTTTCTCTTTTAGGTGCTTAATAGAAATAAAACACACAAATGGTTTCTGTAATTGTGCCATATACATTTTGTATTCACAATACAATTTCTTTGGGAGCTTGTAGTCTTTAAGGAGACATCCATACATATCATAATTTGAGCATCTATTATCTTGGTCATTGTTAATATGAAATGAAAAGTAATTGCTAAATAGAAATTCTGAGAAGCAAAAGGACTTATCTTTGATTTCAATAGTATACGAAGCTCTGTTGCACGAAGTGGGGTTTTAAGAATGATCTTATGGAAAACTGAACTGAAAAAAATCCTATGAAATATAGAGTGAGAATGAATGATATGTCTTCAAAATGAATATCTCAATCTTAATGTTCTATTGTAGTTTCTTTGGTGAAATATCTGCATCTAAACAAGTGAAAAATGTTTTAATATATTTTTATTGATTTCAGAGAGGGAGAGGGAGAGAGATAGATCAGTAGGGCTAAATAAGTAAAAAATTTTGTAATTTAAAGTAAAATAAACTTTAAGGTTATTTAATTACTTAAATAATATTAAATTTTGTGCAATAATATTTTGAACAGTCAATGTTTTTTTTAAGATATATTTTTATTGATTTCAGAGAGGAAGGGAGAGGGACAGAGAGACAGAAACATCAGTGATGAGAGAAAATCATTGATTGGTTGTCTCCTGCACGCCCCCGCACTGGGGATTGAACCCACAACCCGGGCATGTGCCCTTGACCAGAATCAAACCTGGGACCCTTCAATCCACAGGCCAACACTCTATCCACTGAGCCAAACCAGCTAGGGCTGTGCAATAATTTTAATGGTTGTTTTCATTTTAGGCTAATATTTACTTAAAATGACAAAAGCAACTGAATTTTAAAAGAACTTATTTTTAAGGAAATTTTCAAATTATAGGGCTTTTTATTTTTTTATATAGGTTCCAAAATGACTTTATTAATTTCGTTTGAGAAAACAATAAAAATTCCTTTATCTCCTCTCAAATGATATTTAAAAACTTTAATGAAAATTATCTTTTTCTCTCTATGAGAGTAGGAGCAATAAAGAACTCATTAAATATGAACAGAGAGATCATTTTAATGCCTAATAGACTTGAAAAAAATTGAACATTCATCTCAACATGACCTGGAAACTTTGTGTTTGATGTTTTCTTAGAAATTTGCTGCCCTGGCTGGTATGTATGGCTCAGTTGGTTAGAGTGTCATACATAAACCAAAAGCTGTGGCATTTGGTTTCTGGTCAGGGCACATACCCAGACTTTGGGTTGGATCCCCAGTCATGGTGCAAGAGGTAACTGATTGATGTTTTTCTCTCTCTCCCCCCTTCTCTCCCTCCCTCCTTTATTTCCCTTCCTCTCTCTAAAAATCAAATTAAAAAAAAAAATTTGCTGGCATGTAAATGAGGAAAGCTTTTTGAAAAAGATAAATATAATATATTCAATTCAAAGATGCATTTTCGTCTAGCCTTGAAAACATTTAATAATAGCACTTACGAACATAGAACTATTAAACTACTAAGAGGGTACTTGAAATTCAGTTACTCATTGGAAATTGCTCACTGGAGATTTAAAATTAGTCTGGGGGAAAAAGTCTACAGATGTATGTGTATCTACACTAATAAAAGACAAACATGCAAATTAACCATACCTTCACTATGCCTTAAGCCACACCCACCAGCCAATCAGAGCGACAATATGCACATTAACCCAACCAAGATGGTGGCGGGCAGCCACAGAGCTGGAGCAAGCAGGAGGCTTGGTTGCCCCAATGATGGAGAAAGCCAAGCTTTCCAGCCACAGCCGGCTCTGAGCTCCACTCAAAGCAACAAAGTTTCAATTATAGAAGATAAATAAACCCCAGATACCTGCTTTCAGCTGGCTGTGGCCACGGAGCTGGAGCGAGCAGGAGGCTTCCCTCCCGCCCGCCCTGGCCGGCTCTGAGCTCCTCTCAAAGCAACAAAGTTTCAATTATAGAAGGTAAATAAATCTCAGAATTAAAAAAAAAGAAAAAAGGAGAGGCTGGGAGCTTCCGTCACCAGGGGGGTTTGGCCAGCCTGAAAACGGCTCTCAGCCCCTCACCCAGACTGGCCAGGCATCCCACCCTAAAGGGGGTGTGGCCAGCCTGAAAACAGCCATCAGCCCCTCACCCAGGCTGGCCACTCCTCCATGGGATGAGGGTCCTCACTGGGGGGGAGGAGGCTTAACCAGCCTGCAAACAGCCATCAGCCCCTCACCCAGGCTGGCCAGGCACCCCAGTGGGGACCCCCACCCTGAAGGGGGTGTGACCAGCCTGCAAACAACTATCAGCCCCTCACTCAGGCTGGCCAGGCACCCCAGTGGGGACCCCCACACTGAAGGGGGTGTGACCAGCTGCAAACAGCCATCAGCCCCTCACCAAGGCTCGCCAGGCACCCCGGTGGGGACCCCCACCCTGAAGTGGGTGTGACCAGGCTGCAAACAGCCATCAGCCCCTCACCCAGGCTGGCCAGGCACCCCAGCGAGAACCCCACCCTGATCCGGGACACCCTTCAGGGCAAACCAGCCGGTCCCCACCTGTGCACCATGCCTCTGTCCTATATAATTAAAGGGTAATAATGCAAATTGACCCTAACAGCAGCACAACTGGGAATGACTGGTCACTATGACACACACTGACCACCAGGGGGCAGACGCTCAATGCAGGAGCTGTCCCCTGGTGGTCAGTGCGCTCCCACAGGGGGAGCTCTGCTCAGCCACAAGCCAGGCTGATGGCTGCCAGCACAGCAGTGGTGGCAGGAGCCTCTCCCGCCTCCTCAGCAGTACTAAGGATGTTCGACTGCAGCTTAGCTCTGCTCCCTGCTGGTAAGTGGACATCCCCCGAGGCTGCCGGGCTGCCAGAGGGATGTCTGACTGCCAGCTTGGGCCGGATCCCCCAGAGAGCAGGCCTAAGCCAGCAGGTGGACATCCTCTGAGGGGTCCCAGACTGCGAGAGAGCACAGGCCGGGCTGAGGGACCCCCCCCCCCCCCCCACCGAGTGCACAAATTTTTGTGCACCAGGCCTCTAGGGGGGAGTGGGTGTGTGTGTGCATAATGTATATATGTGTGTATATATATATGTATATATAATACATATTTGGAAGAAAATATTTTTATTTTCTGGAAGTAGAAAATATTTTTACTAGTATATATTGTCAGAAAGCTTTTTATCAACTAACCAAATGTTTTTGACTGTGGCAGGCACCTTCAAATTATACCTTACCTCATTCAAATGTCACATATCAAAGTTCTCTCTGAAGATTCTGAAAAAAAAAAAAAAGTCAATGGCAGCAGCTATCTAGTTACAGCTTCCAAGCTATTAACCAAATAACATGCACTTTGTGTAATTTATGGAAAATAAGTGTTTAATATTCTGAATCACTATTTCAAGTCAATATTTACTTAGTATTTACAAGACATTTTTATAATTGTATCACTTTTTTTTAAATATAATAGGTAGATTTTTATGCAATTAAGACTTCTGAAATTATGTTGTGTTTGTGTGTTTTTTTGGGTTTTTTGTTTTGTTTTGTTTTGTTTTGTTTTTTACCTTTAACAGAAAAGGGAAAAAGGATTACAAGGAAGTCTTAAATTACAAGCTAAGGTTTTGAATAGTTTAATGATAAGATATAACAGTCATCTCTGGCTTGCCTTTTAGGTAGTATATATATTCTAAGATAGAAAAATCAACAACTTATTTAGTAGTGTTACAAAGTGATTATGTGTCCTTTAATGTAATCTTTCAAGATATTTCTTTGTTTGTTTTATAAAGCAATGGGGAATCCAGAAAACATAGAAGATGCATATGTTGCTGTTATTCGTCCAAAGAATACTGCCAGTCTAAATTCCCGGGAATACAAAGCCAAGTCATATGAAGTGAGAACAATTTGCTAACATTTGATTTGCTACTATTGAATGTCATTCTTTATTATTTTCATTTGCATGCAGTCTTACCATATCCTTTAAATTCTTGTTGACAGCCTAGATGTTGACAAGCTAAAATTGACAACCCCAGATCTCTGCCCATCACTGTCTTTTTTCTGCTGTATATTTTTGCCCATTTTTCTACTCATTGATACATAGAAGTTATTAAAAGGTACTTGTTTGAGTTTTCCAGATAATTTATAAATTTAGCTTTTAGTACAATTTATGGAATGGCTCTCAAAATTAAAGAAAAAAAATTTAAAGTCAGTTTATCAAAATTACAGTCTACATATTGTTTTTTGTTATTATCCCAAGCAACTGTTTTTAACAGTTCACTAAAAAGTACCTTTTTACCTTTAGTTAAGTTTTAGGAGATTAAGTTACTTTTCTGTAGTCTTTAATTATACAGGGTGAGGTAGAAGTAGATTTATAGTTGTTTGTATGGGAAATGATAAAATAATTAATAAATAATAATACAAGAATAAACTGCTTTTCACATTTATAACTGTAAACCTACTTTTGCCACACTCTGTTTTACATGTAGATGTGATGGGGGGGCGGGGCGGGGGATGACGACCAAAAATAGAATTGTTATCTTTTCTATGCAGCAGAGTCCAAACATCATAGAGTACTTCTAATCTCACCTAACTCCAGCTAATTTTTGTAGCATTTTACTTAAATTACTTTTTTAGGGTTAGTTATCTGAAACCTATTAGAATATTTCAGGGGTTCTCAGGAGGCTGCTGCTTTAGCAATGCTCTAGCATACTGGTTATCTTTCCTGGCTGCACTGTTGAATCACCTGGGGAACTTGAAAACTTCCAGTACCAGGACCCCATTCCCTACACATTTTGATTTAATAGGTCTGAGATGAAGTTGGGTATCGATACTATTTAAAAAGCTTCCCAGATTATTCTAATATACAACTAGTGTCTAATATGCTAGCTTATATTCTAGGGTAAATAAATTTGATTTAAACTTTCTCATTACTTTTCTTAAGATTTTATTGCATGAAGTTCCCATTGAAGGGCAGAAAAAAAAGAGAAAGAAAGTTTTATTGGAAACTAAACTTCAAAGCAACAGTGAAATAACACAAGGCATATTGGATTATGTAGTAGAGACCACCAAACCAATTTCTCCTGCAAACCAGGGTATCAGAGGTAAAAAAACACAACTTTGTTTCTTTATTTCTTTGTTTCTTTCTCTTTTTCTTTCTTTTTTTCTTATGCTCTTTCTTTTTTATTTAATTTTAATAAATCTTTATAATTGAAAGTATTACATATATCTCTCCCCACTGCTCTTTCTTTAACACAGTAGCTTTAAATGCTTGTGGAGAAAGACATTTAAAAAATATATTAAAATCAATTTCTTGTTACGCTCCTTTTCATTTAAAAGACTTGAAAGAGACTCAAAATTTTTTAACGTACAGCTAAGCCCCTTGAAGAAGTAACCTGAGTAAAGAAAAAGTAATCCGACTTTAATTTTTTTAATGATTTAGAGAGAACAACCAAGGGGGGTTCCATGAAACTGAAAGAAAGTACAAACTACTTTTGCTAGAAATATGGTTTCTCAGATGTCTTTGAACTGCAAAGATGAGAGGTTTTAGAGTATAAGACTTGTAGGTTATTATTTGTCTCCCTTGCTGCCAAATCAGGAAAATAAACTAAGAATGGTGGTTACAATTCAAAACAATAGTTTGTAGCCCAATCAGATTTTAATAAAAATCTGAAATTAAGGGCGGAGGTTGAAGATTAAGTGAAGAGATGCTAAACTTTTAAGATTTTGCAACTTATACACCACCCTCTTTAACTACCCTAGACTGTAGTAAAATTCTGACCATCTGCATCCCCACCAAATGATATGCTGTTTGAGCCTGCAGGATGCCTTACTGTTGAGCTGCTCTGCCAGTCCTTAGCAGGACATTTTTTTTTTCCAGGCATAGGAAACTTCTATTGAGTCAAGACCAGGAACATGAGTCTACTGGTTGATTGTCCACACAATGAACATTATCAGAATCATCAGTTTTTATTAGGACATATTATAAAAATTGACTGTTCTTACTGCCTTTTTGAAATAATTTTAATTCTCAGAGTAATTTATAAAATATAAAAGCCCATTATTTTTTATCTTTACTGACTTTTCAAAAAATGATTAGGAAAACGAGTAGTACTACTGAAGAAATTTCCTTTGGATGGGGAGAAGATGGGCAGAGAAGCAGCATTATTTATTGTTCCATCAGTTGTCAAAGGTAAAGTTCAAGTTTTATCTTATGAATCTTTTTGTGCCTTACAAGCTAAGTTAAAATCTATTTAGAAATTTAGGAATTTGCATTCATAGTTACTACATAATACTGTTATATAAAATACATGTTGTAATTAATGTAACATGGAGAAATTTGTTACTTAAACAAATATATTTTTCTAAAATATATGTTTATTGATTCAGAGAGGAAGTGAGAGGGAGAGAGAGATAGAAACATCAGTGATGAGAGAATCATTGATTGTCTGCCTCCTGCACGCCCCCTACTGGGGATCAAGCCTGCAACCTGGGCATGTGCCCTTGACCAGAATCAAACCCAGGACCCTTCAGTCCACAGGCTGACACTCTTTCCACTGAGCCAAACCAGGTAGGGCTAAACAAAGATTTTTTTTGTTTTTTGTTTTTTGTTTTTTTATGTGCCTCAGGCATGAAACAGCTCTGGCCACTGACACAGGCATCAAGCTAGGATGAACTAAGGACTGTACATCTGCTTTGCCCCTGACTGATATAAGAGCAACACCACCAATCAGGTGTCTCCTTGCCCATTGCCAGGGGGTAAAACAAAGATGTTTTGATTTAAAAATAATATTCCAGCTTCTGGACTGAAAATAATGTTTTTCCCAGCCATAGTTAGGGGGACAAAGTTCAGCTTTTTAAATTATTTTGGAAATTTTATTAATCAGTTTTATAATATTGTTGAGAAAGAGAAAGAAGAAATAATTTCTTTAATTCTCCAAGATTATAAATGCTGTATTCACCCAAGTGGATAAGGTCACAGAGCTGCCCATCACTTGACTCCAGGTCTTCTAATTGGAAATATAAAATAGCACTAGCTGGTTTGGCTCAGTGGATAGAGCATCAGCCTGCGGACTGAAGGATCCCAGGTTTGATTCTGGTCAAGGGCACATGCCCAGGGTTGCGGGCTCGATCCCCAGTAGGGGGTATGCAGGAAGCAGCAGATCAATGATTCTCTCTAATCATTGATGTTTCAGTCTCTTTCTGCCTCTCCCTTCCTCTCTGAAATCAATAAAAATATATTAAAATAAATCTAAAATAATTTATGTTATATTTAACTATTTTTATAAACATATTATATACTTTTAAATAAGAAATATGCCGTTGTAAACCTTTTATATGATGGCATAATTCTTCATTTTTCTTTTCCAGATAATACTAAATATACGTATACTCCAGGATGCCCAATTTTTTACTGCTTACAAGATATTATGCGAGTCTGTAGTGAATCCAGCACTCACTTTGCTACTCTTACAGCAAGGATGTTAATAGCCTTGGATAAGTAAGAACTGCCATTAAAATTTTTTTTAATAAATCAGATATATGTTGATAATAGAAATTAACTCTGATACCAACACTTTGGGAAGAAAATAATGAAATTAATAATATATGTATTCATAAATGGTAAATTTTTTAAATTTTTACTTTAAATTCTTTATTGTTTAATGTATTACATACATCTCCTTTTTCCCCCATTGACCTCTCCTTGGCCGCCCCCAACCTCCAGCACATGCCCTTACCCCCCCGCTCCATCTGTGTCCATTGGTTATGCTCATATGCATGCATACAAATCCTTTGGTTGATCTCTTACCCCCTCCCCTCGCCTTCCCTCATAGGTTGGACAGTCTATTCAATGCTTCTATGACTCTGGTTCTGTTTTTGTTTGTCAGTTTATGTTGTTCATTATATTCCACAAGTGATTGAGATCATATGATATTTATCTTTTTCTGACTGGCTTATTTCACTTAGCATAATGCTCTCCAGTTCCATTAAATGGTAAATTTTGTAAAAATTACATTTATTAAGATGACATTGGTTAATAACATTAAATAATTTCATGTGTACAATATGAGAATTCATTATCTGTATACTCTATTGTGTGCTCATAACCCAAAGTCTATTTTCCTTCCCATATCATATATTTGACCGCCTAACCAATTTACCCCCCCTCCTTTTCTCTCTTGTCACTACCATTCTGTTTTCTGAATCTATGAGTTTGTTTTGTTCATTTGTTGCTTTTTTAATATTCCACATATGAGTGAAATCATAAGGTTTTTGTCTTCTGTTTGACTCATTTCACTTAGCATAATTACCTCAAGATTCATCATGTTGAAAATAGCAATGTTTCCTCATTTTTTATGGCTAAGTAGTATTCCATTGTATATGTATGCCACATCTTCTTTACCCAAACATCTGTTGATGGGCACTTAAGTTATTTCCATGTCTTGGCTATTGTAAATAAAGCTGCAGTAAACATAGGGGGTATATATCTTTAAAAATTAGTGTTTTCATATTTTTTGGGTAGATACCCAGAATAGGAATTGCTGGATCATATGGTAGTTCTATCCTTAATCTTTTTAAGGAGCCTCCATATTATTTTCCATAGTGGCTGCACCAATTTACATTCCCACCAACAGTGCCTGAGAGTTTCCTTTTCCCCACATCATCAATATTTGTTATTTCCTGTCTTTTTAATAATAGCCTTCTAGCTAGCCCTGGCCAGTACGTTCAGTGGTTAGAGCACTGGTCTTTGCACTGGAGGCTCTCAGGTTCGATACCTGGTCAAGGGCACAAACTTGGGTTTCATGTTTGATCCCCTGCCCAGATCAGGGCCACTTTTGGGAGGCAATCAGTCATGTGTGTCTCTCGTGTTGATGTTTCTCTCCCCCTTTCCCCTCCCTCTCTCTTTCCCTCTCTCCTCTCTACCTCTCTACCTCTCTCCCCCTTCTCCACCTCCCTTCCACTCTAAAAATCAATGGAAAAAAAATACACTCGGGTGAGGATTAACCAAAAATAAATAAATAATAGCCTTTTAACAGGTATGAGGTGATACCTCATGATTTTAATTTGCAAGAAATGGTAAGTTTTTGAAGTATCAGATAAAAATGAAAAACTCCAAAGATAGGATTGTCCTTGTTTGCTTGCAAGGTGTTAATTTTATCTTCAAAAATGGCAAAGAATGCCTTGTTTTAATTAAGATTCCTTTGTTATAAAACTAGATTTAGTGTTGAGTTACTCTCATCAGTGAACAAGTCTTTTAATCTACCATGCCTTTGTCTTTCTGTAACTACAGGGCTAATGTACCTGTGTCTCAGTGGTTTAAATTTTAAAAGTGCTTCATGTTTTTTGAAAAGGGTTTTTATTATTATAATGGTTTATACATTTTTTAAAGTGGTTTGCTATGTCCATGAACAAAACTTTTATTAATAGTAAATGAAGTACTTAACCAACATTAATTAAAAGTATAAAGATCTGAATATTAGAAAATATCACGTACCAGAATTGGATAGTATTATATTTTTATCCTCACTTTTGAACAAATGTATCTACTATTCATTCTTTCTATTTTGCCAGGTGGTTAGATGAACGTCATGCACAATCTCACTTTATTCCAGCTTTATTCCGACCATCTCCTCTTGAGCGGATAAAAACTAATGTCATAAATCCTGCATATGCTACTGAATCGGGTCAGACAGAAAACTCACTACATATGGGCTATAGTGCACTAGAAATAAAGAGTAAAATGTTAGCCCTAGAGAAAGCAGATACCTGTATTTACAACCCTTTATTTGGATCAGATCTTCAGTATACAAACAGGGTAAGAATTGAATGAATTTTGGCTTTGAATTCAAAAGACATTTCATCTCAAATGAGTTTGTTCCCCTGAGATAAATGCATCTATTACTAATTATAAATATTAACATGACATCCATACTTAACTCTATATACAGGGTGTCCCAAAAAAATGTATATATACTTTAACAGCTGATTTCTATTACATTTTAAAAATGAAATGTTGTGTGTGTGTTTTTTTAAAATATGGAATGCTTCACAAATTTGCGTGTCATCCTTGTGCAGGGGCCATGCTAATCTTCTCTGTATTGTTCCAATTTTAGTGTATGTGCTGCCAAAGCAAGCACATGAAATGTATTTTAATAAACACTGCCTTTATAATTATTCAAAGTATGTATACATTTTGGGGGGATACCTTATATATTAAAGTTAAATATCTAAAGCTCTTAAGGGTTTTTTTGTTTGTTTTATTTTCCCTTTCTAGGTTGATAAAGTGGTAATAAATCCATACTTTGGTCTAGGAGCTCCAGACTACTCAAAAATCCAAATTCCCAAGCAGGAAAAATGGCAGAGAAGCATGAGCAGTGTCACAGAAGACAAGTACTGTTTTGGTTTTACTCCACCTTGCTTTTTTTAAAACTTGCATTCTACTGTTATAGTTTAAAATTAATTAACATGTAATATGCAATTAATATATAACATAATCATTGCATAAGTGATTCAGTTTATAGCTTCTCAATGATACATAGCTTTCAGTTTGTTTTTATGAATAGGGAACGACCATGGGTAGATGATTTTCCTCTCCATCGAAGTGCCTGTGAAGGAGATTCAGAATTATTAACTCGTCTTCTCAATGAAAAATTTTCAGTCAATCAGTTGGATAATGACCACTGGGCGCCCATTCATTATGCATGCTGGTAAATAAGATTACTTTTTATTTTCCTTTTAGAAAGAATGAATCATCCTGTATAATAAAACCCTAATATGCAAATCGACTGACTGGCGAAACGACCGGTCACTATGATGTGCACTGACCACCAGGGGGCAGACGCTCAATGCAGGAGCTGCCCCCTAGTGGTCAATGTGCTCCCACGGGGGAGCGCCACTCAGCCAGAAGCCAGGCTCACAGCTGGCAAGCACAGTGGCAGTGGCGGGAGCCTCTCCCACTTCTGCTGCAGTGCTAAGCAGCAGCGAGTGGAGGGGTAAGAGCAGAGAGTAAGCAGGGGTAAGGAGCAAGGAGTCCCGGACTGCGAAAGGGATGTCCGCCAAGGGGTCCCAGATTGCGAGGGGGTGCAGGCCAGGCTGAGTACGAATTTCATGCACCAGGCCTCTAGTTGGTTACAAATATTAGTGCTCCTTTTCAAAACTCATTCCAGCCACTTTTTTTTCTACCATGTTTGCCTAATGAGCTTTCTATTTATGTCTTTGATGTGCCTATAGATGTGCTCCATTCAGAATTGCCAGGTCTGCCCTATAGGAAAAGTATCATTAGTGTTCTCAGGCATTATTACCAAGTCATACAGAAAGATAGCTGATGACTAGCAAATGTCATTGCACAGCACAGGACCCTTATTTATCTGTTTTGTATTGGAGTTATGTTTGTTTACCCTTACTATAAAATTTACATGTGTTAGCTACTTATGATTTACTTGCATTATATCAGTAAAGTACCTTTTTAGTTCTTTGGGAAGCTGTGGTATCAGGAAACCCACAAAAGCATTCATTCGCATTAAAGCCTTCCTTTTTTTTTTTTTTTAAGATGAGAGGGATTAGCTCCCAGGATTGAGGCTAGCTCTTTCCACTAGTTGCCCAATGTAGTTCTTGCTCACCTACTCTTCTCACGATAGTGACTCTTCCCCTCCGCTGGTCTGAGTTCTTAAATTTGTATTCATAGCAGTAGTTAACCATTTGCCAGATAGCCCATCCTTTAGAGAGGAAGTAATAAAGTTATTTACTTTTTATGGAAAAGTTGCTTTTGACGTACTAAAGTGAACTTCTTTGGCTCATTTAAAAAGTGCCTATATTATTTAGTGCTTGTTAAATGTCCACACTTCTTAACTGCATGACATTAAGCAAGGTACTTCATTTCACCTCTTTGCCTCTCATTTTTTAAAATCTATATGTAAATGCATTAATTAGATAATTTCTAGAGTTCTTTTCAGCTCAAATTCTTTTGTTTTACTGATTCCAGTATTTGTTATCAAGAAGCTAAATGCTGTTGCTTATAAATATACATTTTTCTTCCTTTTAAACTATGCCATTCCTTAAAAATATGCTTCTTTATTCTATCCTTATGTTCTTGTCTGCCCATTACAGAGTTTTTATATCAAATTTGTAAAAAGTTACCCTAAATCTTTTAAACTAAACTTAACAGTTGTTTATACATATTACTAGTAAATACTGCTGGTAGCAACAGTACTAAGAAAACTTCACATGCTTTACCTAGAACTAAGCAAAAAGAGGTAGAGAATATATTTCAAACCCCAAGAAAGTACACTGTGGAATTAGGAAAGACATAGTGAATTTTAATTTAGGAATTCCAAATTTATATATGGCTATTTTGTTCCCCTTTTGGGCAGGGTTATTTTCTCATCTAATAAAAGAACGGTAATATTTTCAACTATCTATTGCATAAAAACAGAAGTATGGTATAGTATTTAATGTGCTTTGGATTGCCCCTAGGTTTGAGTCCCAACTTTTAGTTCCTAAAAGTATGACCTTTAGCAAGTTACTTAAAGTCTCTAAGGATCTGTTTCTTTATCTATAAAATGGGCTTAATCATAGTACCTTTCTTAAGATTAAAGAAGAAAATTCAAATAATGCTTTTAGAGTACTGGCATATAATAAGCACTCAAATGTTGGCTGTTACTATTAAAGTATTGTAATAATTTAAATATTTTGATTTTTAAATCTAAAGTTCATTCATCTTCAGTATTTTTTTTAAAATCTTATTATTACAATACACCAAGGAAAAGTTTTATCCTTTGATAAAATTAACTTTGTATGGCCCTGGCCAGGTGTCTCAGCGGGTTGGAGCATCATCCTATAAACCAAAAGGCTGTGAGTTCAATTCCCTTTCAGGGCATATCCCTAGGTTATAGGTTCTATTCCCAGTTGGGGTATGTACAGGAGGGAACTCATTGATGTCTCTCCTCCCTACCCCTTATCCCCTCCTTTCTAAATATTAATGAAAACAAATCAGTTTTGAAGATGTGCAATTTTCCCCTTAAATGCACCGTATCTAAAACAAATTTCCTTTCCTCTTTCCCCCTCCCACCCATTTATTTCTAAACAATGAATTACTTTTCCACCATTGCTTCAAACTGCATCCTTACATAAGTATTTGGCTGTAACCAAATGTTGGACTCCCTACTCACTTTTCTGGGTCTTTGCTTTGCTTATTACTTTTCCCACTACCTAAAATATTTTACCTCTCTTCAATATCTCTTCAGTTTATTCCTATTTAAAATCCAGTTAAAGTTGTCAGCCTATTAAAACTCTTTACAGGACCATCTTAGACTGAAATAATAATCTTCCTTTTCCAATATTTTTAAAGCATTAATTATATACTATCTTGATAAGTATATAGTACCTTATTTTGTTGGTTAGTATCCTAAACTGTTACTTAAATTTTAGAGCATTATGTAACTATTCCAGGTTTTTTGTTTTACTGCTCTGATTACATTGTACTCCTTTATTAGAGCAGAGACCATGTATTTTACATATCTTTATGTGTCATCCATTACCTAACATAACAGCTACATACAGAATTACATCTTTGGGCCTATTAAATCACAGGCCTTTGTGAAAAGTTTATGAGTTACTTTCTGATTCTGGACATACTTTTGACTAAACCTTTTCTCTCTTTAAATTATAATTTTTGTACTTTATGTGCTCTATCTTGTGTTTGAGGTTATATTTTCTCCGAGTTGATCAGAAGTAAACATAGTTGAATTGAACCAGAATAATTAATAAGAAATCAGTGCCTAGGCAGTGAAAACATTGTCTGAATCTTAGTTCCTTGCTCTCTGCCTAGAAAAATCTTAGATTTCTTTGGGATGTCTTCTAAAATTTGGAGTTTTAAAACATTTGAAATGACTTTTTTTTCTTTTTTTTTTTAAAATAGGCTTGGAAAGGTTGAGGCCACTCGCATATTGTTAGAAAAAGGAAAGTGCAATCCAAACCTTTTAAATGGACATCTTAGTTCTCCTCTTCATTTTGCTGCTGGTGGGGGACATGCTGAAATAGTACAGATTCTCTTAAACCATCCAGAAATTGACAGAGTAAGTTATTTTCCAGGTTGTTGTTGTTTTTTAATGTTTCAGCAGTGAATAACAAATAATGACACTAAATGTTCAGTAGTATACTTGAGAGGTTAGCTGAAAAATAAAAACAAATTTCACTTACTATACAGAATACATATTATGTGTAAACTTTGCTTTATATATAAACATTTTTGATGATGATAAAATATGTCTTGCATAAAATGTACCATTTAAGCCATTTTAGGAGTTCAGTGACATTAAGTACATTCATATTACTGTTCAGTCTTCTACAGAATGTGCATAAAATTTAACCTCTTTTCATTTCATTTTGTATTTCTTCAAAAATATATTTAAGAATGAAAAAGATTTTCTACCCACTTTCTAGAATTTGTATTAACAAGTATTTTGTGAAGGGAAAAAGAATAGTTTTAACAAAGCCTGTTGTATTTGTAATCATAACTTTTCAAAAACAATAATCACATTGATCTGTGCTTTAAGTCTTTCATATTTGGTAATTCATGTTTATTTTAACTATAGCATGTACTAAGTATGGTTCATAGTTACTACTTGAGAAGAGTCTTTTTTTAAATCAAACTTTAATATTTGCCTTTAGATTGCCATATATTTATAATGCCTTTTTTCTTTATCCTCTTCTTTCCCCCCCACATTTTTAGCACATAACAGACCAACAAGGAAAATCCCCTTTAAATATTTGTGAAGAAAACAAACAAACTAATTGGGAAGAAACTGCAAAATTGTTGAAGGAAGCCATTAACAAACCAGTAAGATTACCTTCAGAGTAGAGTCAAGCATCCTACTTAAATTGATAAGTAATTTCAGGTTCTGTGACAAGAGTGGAAGGGTGAATGGCTGGTTTCTTTACTGCTTTTATAAAACCTCATGGTTAGACTTCATAAGCATTAAATTTGTTATCATCCATAATGGTTGGATGTTTATTCTTGCTTAACAAAATGAAACTTGCTTAAGTAAATCTTTTAATCACTTAAAATTAATTTAATTTTCAGTATAATCTCTGTACTTGGTGTGCTAATTAAAAATTAAATTGTTCATTGAAGCATAGATCTCTACTTAGGCCTCCTCAGCAATATTTTATATTTGTAAATACTGACACTAACCATCATTCATTAATTTAGTTGCAACAAGTTATCTATTACAGATTCATTTTACTCCTCAAGAAAGTGCATGAGTTAAGATTGGAGATTTCCTAGCCTTTAAAAAAAAAAATATATATATATATATATATATATATATATATATATATATATGTATGTTTTATTGATTTTTTACAGAGAGGAAGGGAGAGCAATAGAGGTAGAAACATCAATGAGAGAGAAACATTGACCAGCTGCCTCCTGCACACCTCCTACTGGGGATATGCCCGCAACCAAGGTACATGCCCTTGACCGGAATTGAACCTGGGACCTTTTAGTTCGCAGGCCGATGCTCTATCCCCTGAGCCAAACCGGCTAGGGCTTTCCTATCTTTTTTATTCTGCCTATTCAACCTGGCTTTCCATCTAATTATGTCCAAAATAACTAGCAGTGACATTAAGGTAGAAAAGAATTAGCAATTAGAAAAAAACTCAATCCTAAAAGTTATAGTGATGACAAATCTATTATTAATTTAAAGATTTGAAAACCAGATAAAAGGATTCATATTAACAGATATAGGATAAAAGTTTGATACCAACAAATATAACCCATATGTCTGAGCCTTTCCAAACTTCCCATCAACGAGACAATAAGTCTTTGTTGAATATTCCTGTGAATTTAACATCATGAAATGCTGAAATTGATAACTGATAAAGAATATATGATCTCGCCCTGGTTGGTGTGGCTCAGTGGATGGAGCATCGGATACAGACTGAAGGGTCTCAGGTTCGATTCCCGTAAAGGACACATGCCCGGGTTGTGGGCTTGATCCCCAGTAGGGGGCAAGCAGGAGGCAGCTGATCAGTGATTCTCTCTCAGCATTGATGTTTCTATCTCTCTCTCCCTCTCCCTTCCTTTCTGAAATCAATAAAAATACATATTAAAAAAATGAATATATGATCTCTCCCTTTAAAGATGATTACACACTCATGCACATTTTGTGAAAACACTATTCCATAAGCACAAGACAAGGGCAAGAAAATAGATAAGTGGTATAGGCAACTTTATGTTCTACTTCATTGCAATTCATTTTCTAATTGTGTATTAAAATACTTTTTTTTCTTCCCATACTTTTTATATTGGAATGTAAAAGATAAAAGGAATTAGGTACTTTTCTCCAAAATGAACTGTCCTGCATGTTGTTTGAAGACCCCATAACCACAAAAATGTTACTGAGAATTTCATTTGTCTCTAGGAATTTCTGAACTGGAGGAAAAAAACTGGCTTAAGGTCCATTGCTTAAAACTTCTACCTGCAAAGTCTTCTATTACAGATTTCTCTTAGGACAAATTATTGGCGGTACACATTTCTGTAGTATAATTTTTGGCCCATTAGACTCATGAGGTACTTGACTAACACCAGATTTAGTTAACCAATGTATATCCCCCATTTGATATCTACATTGTACATAGTAGCTTACAAAAAAAATGTTCTCTCAGAAGATTTTGAAGTTGAATTTTTTTAAAAAATAACTAATTTGTCTTAGTTTTTCAAAATTATGTGAACATGGAATATCCAGAGGAAAATGTATTAGAAAATATAAATAATAAAAGTAAAATTTTAAAAAATATTGCCAGCACATTCTCACTTAAAGCCATTTTTCTGATATTTTCCATGTTAGAAATCTATATTAAGCAGATGAAGTTGAAATTAAAGCATTTTGATGGATTTGGTTGTATAATTTCTAACCAGGTTGCATAATTTATTATCATTCTTTGTTCTAGTATGAAAAAGTTCGAATATACAGAATGGATGGATCATACCGTTCTGTTGAACTGAAGCATGGAAATAACACCACAGTACAGCAGATAATGGAAGGAATGCGTCTCTCTCAAGAAACACAGCAATATTTCACTATTTGGATCTGTTCAGAAAACCTCAGTAAGAAATTTGTTATTTTGTTGTGTGAACATCATTATTCTTTTTTGAGAGTGGGTTGGTCAATTTCATTTAACATCACTCTAACAACAGTTAATTACTGACTTTTAAATTTTAAAGTGATACAGCGTTCTTCTCTTTTATATAAATTATTTGTGCTCAAACTGTTGAAAAAGGTAAGCCCCCCCCCTCACTTAATTCAAACAATATTTTAAGTAGTAAAAAACAAAACATTTCTTCTTTGGCAATGGAATTTTATTTGAATGCCATTAAATGTGGTGCTCATCCAACTTGCCTTTATTTTCAGTGCTCAAAATAATATAAAATTTCTTCTTTATATAAATTTTCTTTCAGATCTTTTTATTTAAAATCAATCTCTTACTGCAAATACATAAAGGATTTAATTGAGGTTGTTTGATTGGTTATCTAATGGTTGTTTTTTAACCAGATACTACTGATTGTATCATAATTAATTAGGCTATCATGAAATTAAGGATCTTAAATAGATTTAATAAATTTTTTTCTTTTAAGAATTATTCTCATAATTCTTCTATTTTTTTTTTTTTAAATCCTCACCCGAGGAAATTTTTTCCAAAGAAAGTGGTAGGGAGGGATAGAGGGGAGGGGGGGCGGGTGCGGGGTAGTGGAGAGAAACATTGATGTGAGAGAAACATCGACTGGTTGCTTTCCACAGGCACCCTCACCAGGGCTTTGGGTGGAAGCTGCAACTGAGGTATCTGCCCTTGACTGGAAATCTAACCCGTGACCCTTCTGTCCTTGCAGTGACGCTCTTACCACTGAGAAACACCAGCCAGGGCAATTCTTATATTCTTAAAAACAAAAGCAATCAACTCAAGTCGGGTAGTATTAATTAAAGTTGATGTTGATTTAAATTTACACTTAATTTTTGTGTAGTCAGTACTTAAGTATAGAGAGTTTAATACAAAGTTTCTGTGCCTTGATATAATTGATCTATTTTTACATTATCATTTATAAAAGGAAAGATGTTTTTCAGGCCTTCAACTCAAACCATATCATAAACCCTTGCAACATGTTCGGGACTGGCCAGAAATACTGGCTGAATTGACTAATTTGGATCCCCAAAGGGAAACACCACAGCTTTTCCTAAGAAGAGATGTGAGACTTCCTTTGGAAGTTGAAAAAAAGGTTTGCTTGAAAATCTTATTTACAGTCATGAAAATGTACAGAATTTATTGAGTTCCTATAGTGGGCACTACAGGCAGAAGTTGTGCTCTTCTTGTACAGGTGGGGTTTACTTCTGTTTTTCTGTTCAGTCCTCACAGCCCTTTGGTAAATGGTAGAGTCTGAGTCAGACTGCTTTTATAAAGCCCCTGGTTGGTTTTCTGTTTTTCCTTTCATTGTCTTAGAATGCAAAAGAAATAAGAGAGTCCATCCTAAAGAGAATTATTAGCAACCAGATAGAAGGCAGATTATCCAAAAAAAATTTTTTTCAGAATAGTATAGTGTCAAAGGTAAATTTAATAAAGGGCTAATAAGGTGTGTAAATCTCAAAGGAGCAAAGAGATACCTTGGAATGAGGAATACAGAAAAGAATATTCTAAGTGGAGAAAATTATATTTGCAAAGGGACATAAAAATTGTTCTCTACAGTCAGTAAGTAGCTGTTCTCAACTCAAGCAGAGAATTATATAGATAGTAAAAAAAGAAAATACAATTTACACTGGATAAAAAGATCTGTTCCAAACAAGTATGTTTGGATTTGAATTAGACTATAAAGGTTACTGTAGATAGCTATGAAAATTGGGGTAGGAGGGAAGTCCAAAATGGAAAAAAATATATAATGCATTTATATATTCTTTATTCAAGAAAATATGAAACAAATAAGGTTAAGCAAATTTCAGCACAAGAAAATTTCAATGACCATGTCCACACTTGGTAAATGTTTTGTGCCTGACTACTCATATTGTCCCTCTGAGACTTAATCCTGTTACCCAAATATGCTGGAAGGTATATCACAATTTGTATAAAATTTACCAAAAACTAAGATATTGATTATTTATTAAAAATTTGTTAGAATCACAAATAGAATGAAGGAAATAAAACCACATAATCATCTCAATTAACATACAAAACTAGGAATAGATAGGAGCTTCCTCAATATGGTAAATGGAGTTTATGAAAAACTCAAAACATCATACTCAATGCTGAAAGACTGACAGCATTCCTCTTAAGATCAGAAACGAGACAAGGATGTCTGTTTTCATAACTGCTATTTTACATAGTACTGGAAGTTTTAGCCAGAGCAATTAGACAAAAGACAGAAAGGAAGGAAGGGAGGGAGGGAAGAGAAAGAAGAAAGAAAAGGCATCCAAATAGGAAAGGGAAAAGTAAAACTATTCACAAATGAGAAACCAATTTAAACCTATTAAGATGGCTATAATAAAAATTTATAAAGGAAAATGACAAGTATTGGTGAAGATGTAGAGAAATTGGAACCCCCCTGTACATTGCAAATGAGAGTATATAATGGTGCAGTCTCTATGAAAAAAAATTCAGTGGTTCTTCAATAAACTAAACAGGATTACCATATGATCCAGCACTTTCTCTCCTAGGTGTATACCTGAAGAATTAAAAACAAGAAATCATACAGATACCTGTATGCAGTGTTCAGGGCAGCACTATTCACAAATAGCCCAAAAAGTGGAAACAAAGTGTCCATCAAGAGATAAATAGATAAACAAAATGTAGTATATACCTACAATGAAATAATATTCAGCTGTAAAAAGGGATGAAGTTCTTATACATACCATAACATGGACCCTGAAAACATTATGTTAAATGAAATAAACCAGACACAAAAAGATAAATACTGTATGATTCTACTTACATTAAATATTTGGAACAGGTAAATTCATGTAGTCAGAAAGTAGATTAGTAGTTGCCACAGATGAGTGGCACAGGGAGAATGAAGAATTATTACTTAATGGTTATAGATTTTGTTTGGGTGGTGAAAATAGTGGTTGGTGATGGTTGCTCAACATTGTGAATGTAATAAATGCCATTGAATTATATGCTTAAAATGGTTAAAATGAAAAAAATTTTTGTTGTATGTATTTTAACATAGTTTTTAAAAATATATTAGAGTCATAAATCTGTAAATAATATAAGTATACTTAGTCTGTCTGCCTTCTTCACCTAAGTAATGTTTTAGAAGTTGGCTGGTAGAGAAAAAGAACAATAATGATAATACTAAGATGATAAATTGCATAAATATTTTATAAATAATATAAAATAGGCTCAAATGAAAAAAAGCAAGGCTTAGTAAGTACTTAAGGTAAATCAGAATATTATGATCATCTGGGAAAGTATTTGTTTTCTGTCACTTTTTATGTAATTTAGGAATTCCTACTTGTACTGTCTGAAAAATAGAGTAATTGCATTATTGGTTAGCATCATTCTTTTAGGATTAAAATAGACTGATTTCATTTTAAAAGAACAATAGTTGATTGATACTCATTGAACATACTATTAGGAATTATACCTCAGCTGAAACTTCAAATTCACTAAGTCAATTTTTATTAGAAAAATGTTTTCTTTAATCTTCTTTCCAACATTTTATTTTGAGACAGTAAAACCCATAGGAAAATTGAAAAAGAAAATTTATACCATATCCCATTCATTAAATTACTGATTGTTAATGTTTTGCTACATTTGCTTCCTATTTTCTCTCTTTTCTTTGTGAACCATTTAAAAGAGAGTTGCAGACATTATGGCACTTCATCCCTGCATATTTCAACAGGCATCTCCCAAAGGGCATTTCTCTATACTACATTACTCTTTATAGCCTAATAAAATTAATATTTCTATAATAACATCTAATATCAGATCTATATTCAGATTTCTCCCAATTGTTTTAAAGTCTTTTATAGCTCCCATCTGTAGGATCTAATCAAGGGTCATGCTTTGCATTTGATTATTAGTCTCTTGTAATCTAGAACAATTCCCTCCTTTTTTTCCATGAAATTCTGTTTTTTATATTACGGAGTATTATAAGATATCATTTTAGTTAAAGTGGCAAAAATAATCTTTGCCATAAAGAATTGGATCATAGTGAGTTATATTTGGAAGTATTTTAAGTATTCATTCAGAAACTATAATTGGTGACTTTTTCCAAGTAGAGCTATATTCTGTAGAGTAGCATTTTTTAGTATGTTAATCTTTTTGGATAAAGTGAAACTTGCAAGTTTTTAAAACATAAAAAAGGCATATGCTCTCCTTTATTGTTATTTGCAAGTGCAAAGTATTTTTAGTCAAATAAAACACATTTGTCTTAAACTTTTTTAAACTACACATACCATACTTCTAAGAACACACTTCCTTTTATCTTTGAGTTTAGTATGAGTTCTTTTTAGAAGCATAATTAGAAAAATGTTTGAAGAATATAAAGCATTTGAGTATTTGTGCTCAAATTATCCATATGCTATATCCATAAACTGGTGAAATTTTATTGGACTGTAAATCAGAGGTTAGCAAACTATGGCCTGTTGCCATATCTGACCTGCTGCTTATTTTTGTATATCCTGCAAGTTACTAAAGGTTGAAAAAATTCAGAAAATCAATATTTCATGTCATGTGAGAATTTTATGAAATTCAGATTTCAGTAACCATGTATATAGTGTTATTGGAATACCACCACACCCACTTGTTGATGTATTGTCTGTGGCTGCTTTTGTGCTAACAGTAGCAGAGTTGAGTTATTGTAAGAGACTGTATGACTCACAAAGTTTAAAGTATTACCGTCTGGCCCTTAATAGAAAAAATTTTCAGCCCCTGCTCTTAAGCAATAATGGCTTATTTATATACAAATATATAATTTTTGCTTTTCTATATTAGATAATGACAAATTATACTTTTGCAATAGGAAATTATAGCTTAATAACCGAATACTTTTTTTCTTTTAAGATTGAAGACCCACTAGCTATTCTTATTCTCTTTGACGAAGCCAGATATAACTTATTGAAGGGCTTTTATACAGCTCCTGATGCCAAACTGATAACATTAGCAAGTCTGTTGTTGCAAATAGTTTATGGAAATTATGAGAGTAAGAAGCACAAGCAAGGTTTCCTAAAGTAAGTATTTCATGTGAATGTAATGTGTGGTCTTGTGCTATGCTTAAGATTCAATTTAACCAAGAATATTTAGAGATAAATATTTACACATTAGTTTGGAATTAAATACAGTCAGCCCTCTGAATCTGTGGGCTCTACATTCACAGATTCAACCAACCTCAGTTTGAACCCATGCATATAGAGGACTGACTGAGGGACTGAGCATCCTCAGGAGTCCTGGAACCAATCCCCCTTAGATACCAAGAGACTTACAAAGCATGGAATGAGAAGGAAAAACAAAAACAAAACTATGTAAAGCGTTCTTTAAGTTATACTCTCTAAGTTCACCAAAACTTAAATGAGTGGTAGGAAAATGTTATAAGGCAGAAGCATTTAAAAATCCCACCACAAAAACTAGTTTCTTGTTGAGAGAAAACAGTGAGGTTTTAGCACATCTTATGTTTTATTGTGGTTTTCAATTTTCAAAAATATTTTGTGGTTATTGAAAAAAGAAACATTTCTCTGAATTGAATGGTGTTAAGATTGTGGCTTTTGTTTAAAAATTTTTAGAGCTCTCTGATATTTTACAACATAGTATGTTTTAGATAAAAACTCCAGTTACTTAAAGCCTTTTGTGTCTAAATGAATATATTACTTTAGCTACTAAAGATTTTTAAAAAGATGTTGGCATATTTGCTTACAGTGAAGAAAATCTAAAATCCATTGTACCTATTACCAAATTGAAAAGTAAGGCACCTCACTGGACAAATCGAATACTTCATGAATACAAGGTAAGTTGTTTAATAGAACTAAAAAGACATTTTATAAGAGAGTTGAAATTTTGTTAGTGTTATTAATATGCTTTAAACAAAGTTCATAAAACATATAGTCCTGAAAAAGGATTTTTTGGGTCACATGCCTGAAACTGAAAGGAAGACATTTTTATATTTCTGGTTTTTTGTGTTGTTGTTTTTTTTAAAATATATTTTAGAGGGAGAGGTGGAGAGAGAGAAACATCAATGAGACAGAAATATCAGTCATTTGCCTCCTGTACAAGCCTGAACCCCAGGATCTAATCTGAAACCTAGGTATGTGCCCTGACCAGGAATCAAACCCAAAACCTTTTGGTGTACAGGATGATGCTCCAACCAACTGAACCACCTGGCCAGGGCAAGGAAGTTATTTTTATTTTAAATGTAGAATCTTTTCATAAATACCTTTTATGTGCTGCATACCATGGTAAGGACTAGTGATTTTTAAAAATACATGAAATAATATCTCTGTCCATGAGTCACTTTAAAAACCTGACAGTATAGATAAATATTTTTAGACCTTGATATTTCTTTTTTCTTTTTTAATGTAAAATCGCAAAAAAAAATTGCTCTTGGGTAATGTCTCACATTCTTCTTGGAGGTCAGCCTTGATTTTAAAAACTGCTTAGTTGACCTCTTTGGATTATCAAAGGTACCTTCTCCTTTCACATCTCTTTATTTTACTTTTTTTGGTTTTAGAATCTTAGTACAAGTGAGGGTATCAGTAAAGAAATGCATCACCTTCAGCGCATGTTCTTACAGAATTGTTGGGAAATTCCTACATATGGAGCAGCTTTTTTCACAGGACAGATATTTACAAAGGCAAGCCCCAGCAATCATAAAGTCATCCCTGTGTATGTAGGAGTGAATATAAAAGGACTTCATCTCCTCAACATGGAAACTAAGGTAGATTTTCAGCTCTTTTTGACTAGTCACATACTATAGTAGCTAAAATAACAGTGCTAGCCTTAAGAATCTAGAAATGGCATATATGCAAGCCTGTCATTGCAATTTCATTTTTAATAGCAAAGGATGGGAGGGGTTTAAAAACTAAATGATTATCAATAGGGGTTAACATGTTAATTATAGTACATTTCTACATTGAAATATCTTTTGGCTATACAAGAGAATGAAGAATATTTTTGTGTAGAATGATCTCTAAGATGTATTTAGTGGAAAAGCAAGGTGCTGAAGCATATGTAATGTGCTACCTTTTGTGTAAAAATGGGAGAAGTAGGTATTTATCCAAAGAAAACCAAAACACTGACTCTAAGAAATATACACTACCATGTTCGATGTAACATTATTTACAATAGCCATGATACGGAAACAATCTAAGTGTCCAACGATGGATGACTGCATTAAAAAAAATGTGATACACACACCCACACACACAATGGGATATTATTCAGCCATTAAAAAAAAATGAAATCTTGCCATTTGTGACAACATGGATGGACTTTGAAGGCCTTATACTAAGTGACATAAGTTAGACTGAGAAAGACGAATACCATATGATCTCACTTATATGTGGAATATTACCAAAAAAAGACAAAACTATTACGTTACATGTCAATTATAGTTCAATTTTTTTAATAGGGGAAGTGAATGCTATCCTATATAATAAAAGGCTAATATGCAAATTGTCCCCTTGGGAATTCGACCGGAAGACCAGGAGTTCGCTCGCTACGATGTGTGCTGACCACCAGGGGGTGGCACGGAACATGGCAAGCGACCAGTGGTGGCAGCAGGGTGCTGAGGGAGCAAGGGAAGAGAGAAGAGAGGAGGTGGGGAACCTGATCAGCCCTGATCTCTGGCCAGGCCTAGGGACCCTACCCGTGCATGAATTTTGTGTACCAGGCCTCTAGTATTTTATATTAGAGTGACTTGATTGGGATAAGGAATAAGCTGACATATTCCAGTGGCATTTATAATCCCGTGCACATTTCATCCTGTCCCCCAAAACTTCAAATGAAGTTTCTATGTCACTGCCCTGACCGGTTTGGCTCAGTGGATAGAGCATCGGCCTGCGGACTCAAGGGTCCCAGGTTCGATTCCGGTCAAAGGCATGTACCTTGGTTGTGGCACATCCCCAGTAGGGGGTGTGCAGGAGGCAGCTGATCGATGTTTCTCTCTCATCGATGTTTCTGGCTCTCTATCCCTCTCCCTTCCTCTCTGTAAAAAATCAAATATATATATATATATATATATATATATATATATATGTAAATATATAAAAGATGACACATGAAGCTCTTGTCCAGTGACCAGACTTACCTGTCACCATTCTGCTTTTGCAGAAAGTAAATACTTGTAGTACATTTAATTTTCTTGGAAGTCACTGATATAATGGGCATCTTTTTTATTCCTCAGCTTTAACTGAGATGTAATAAAATATAACATTGTGTAAGTTTAAGGTGTGTACAACATGTTGATTTGATACACATATATTGTGAAATGATTACCACCATAGCATTGGCTAACACCTCCATCACATCATATAATTATCATTTCTTTTTTTGTGGTGAGAACATTTAAGATCATTTAGCAACTTTCAAGTGTATAGTACAGCATTATTTACTCTATTCACCATGCTGTACATTAGAACTTAATCATCTTTTAACTGAAAGTCTGTACTCTGTGACAAACATCCCTTGGATTTCTCCCACTTGCCAGCCCCTGGTAACTACTATTTTATTACCTGTTTCTATGAGTTTGGCTTTTTTAGATTCCACATACAAGTGATATCATATAGTATTTGTCTTTCTCTATCTAACTTATTTCACTTAATGTCATGTCCTCAAGGTCTATTCATGTGGTCGCAGATGACAGGATTTCCTTATTTCTCATGGCTGAATAATATGCTTGGGTGTGTGTGCATGTGTGCATGCACATGTACACACATACATACCATAGAATGGGCATCTTTAAAAATTGTCAGTTTGATAATAAAAAAATGTGTCATTGCTTGAGGCAGTATCCTGAGAGCCTACTATATATGTAGCTCTGTACTGCAGGTTGTTTGAAGTTAGTGTGGTGCTTTCTTTGAATAAGTTTTATTCTAACATTAGACCTGACTAGATAAGTGTAGATAGTAAAAGATTGGTGCTTTTAATATATTTCAATACAACAATTTTTCATTATGTTGTAGGCTTTACTCATCAGTCTTAAGTATGGCTGTTTTATGTGGCAATTGGGAGATGCTGGTACATGTTTTCAGATCCATAGTATGGAAAATAAAATGAGCTTTATAGTACATACAAAACAGGTAAGTACTCATCAGTTATTCTGGACTTCTAATAATGAGCTATTATATTGGTAAAATTATTTTTTATAAAAGAACAATCTGTTTTACTTCAAGGAAAACTGCTAATATGTAATGAAATGAAAACATTTAAGGGGAAAAAGCATGCCTTTCCTAAGCAAACAAAGTCAGAAATGTATCTGAATAATTTATTTCAGTCTTATAACATGAAACTCTCTTTTTCTGCCATTATAAAAAATTCTGGTCAGTATTGCCTATCTCTTCTATCAGGTGGTCCTTCCCTGTCTTGACCAGTATCCTATCTGAGCCACCAGTTGAATCCAGCAGGTCATTTTTTAAATCCCTTCAAAAGCCTGAGTAAATACTCTATTCTTGACAGGCTGTACCCTGATAAGAAAGTTCCTATACAATAGCTAGAGAACTGCCCACTGCCATGTATGTCATTTACTCATCTAACATGCTTCATATTTATTGTCAACATTTTACTTTGTAGGCTGGCCTCGTGGTGAAACTGTTAATGAAGCTAAATGGACAGTTGATGCCTACCGAAAGAAATTCTTGAGAGGAAAGCAACTGATACTTAAGCCACCACATTTTGTGATACAGACTTTTTTCCATGAAAGATTTCTTAAACTATGATTTTTAACAAGGCACTATGTCTCTTGTAATATATACGTATACTATTATGTTGTACAGAATCTGTACTTATGTTTGGTGTGTAATATACCAATTACTTTTATATAATATCCTCATAAACTATTCTAATTTTTCAGAGAAACGCATGAAAGAGTAGAGGTTGATTGCCTGGATAATGTTAGACAAAATAGTAATCTTTATAAAAAGTTATTTTTGGTAAATGGTAAAGAATTTAGAAGAAATGTGATGAAATTAAAATACATATAGCTTTGCTATAACTTTGTGTGTCATTTCAAAACATACTTTAATGTCAACATGATTTTAATAAAGAAATGTATTTTCTATTTAAGCCATAATAACACTTATTTAAAACATTTTTCTGCCCTAGCTGATTTGGCTCAGTGGATAGAGCATTGGCCTGCGGACTGAAAGGTCCCAGGTTTGATTCCAGGGCGGCGTCTGTTTATTTTTAATGATGCTCTATCTGAACCTTATTAAAATTAGGATTATGTTGTTAAGTTTAATGATAAAGCCTGATTTAATTCTGTGCTAAGCACTTTTGATTCTAGATAGACAATTCCTTGGTTCAATTTCATCCATTCCAATGGCCTCAGCTGTTACTAAGAGCCCTGTTGACTCCCAAATCTAAAACTTTAGCCTTAACCTCTCTCTGAACTCCAGATCTTAGTTTCCAATTTCCTGCTATTCTAGCTACACTTAAATGACCTACACAAGGACCTTTAGTTTCATCATAGCTGGAAACAGAATTGTTTCGTCTACTTGCTCCATCCTATACTTGTATTGTGTAATTGGTTAATGGCATTATCAAATTTCATCCAGTTCCTTAGCCTGGCAATCTTGGAGTGGTCTTCAACTTTTCCCTCTTAAATCACCCTACACATTCTATTTATCAAATTCTGTTCAATGTCATGTCAGTCCTTTCCCATTCCTTCCTCCCTGTTTGCACAGTAACCATCCTAGTTCAAGTCTTCACCATCTATTCCAAGGCTCCTTGTAGCTTCCTCCTCTGACTCATGCTCACCCTCTCACCTATCTGTCACACTGGTGCCAAACTAACCTTTCTCATCCATCTGATTATTTCATTACCCTTTGAAAACCCTCTTCACTACATGTTGAATTAAACTTCAGTTCCTTAGTAATGAGTACAGGGCCCTTAATACTCTGTCACACACCTGCCTATCCAGATTAATATCCAACCGCTTCATACTCATCCTGTGCTCCCTCCTACCCAGTGTTTTCTAACCCTGGCTCTGCAGTCACATGGGGGATTTGAATACTTTATGACTTAATTTTAGGGTGGGGCCCAAGCATTTCTGTTTTTAAAGTATCCCATGGGAATTTGATACACAGCTTAAGGTTTAGAACTACTGTTATAACCAGTTTTAACTAGGAGATAGTTGAATGCCTTTTCTTTCATAGTGTGGGGTGAAGATGCAATGATATTACATTAAACAACTCCCTGCTCCATAGAATATAGTGTACCTTCCTGGAGTTGTAGTTTCCCTTCCCTATAGAGAAGGGAAAAGATGACTATTAGAGAGGCATGGCTGTGAAAGGCTTAAAAGTATATAACATTAGAAAATCAATTTTAAAAATTAGTATTAAGATAAAAACAATTCATTACCTGTTCAACTATAACAAGCCAGAAATAAGTAAGGGGGGGGATGCAAACAGCTTTTAATAAGGGCCTAGGAGCCCTAGTCGGTTTTGGCTCAGTGGATAGAGCATCAGCCTGTGGAATGAAGGGTCCCAGGTTTGATTCTGACCAAGAGCACATTCCTGGGTGTGAGCTCAATCCCCAGTAGGGGGCGTGCAGGAGGCAGCTGATCAATGATTCTCATCATTGATGTTTCTATCTCTCCCTTTCCCTTCCTCTCTGAAATCAATAAAGAAATATATATATTTTTAAAAATAAGCGCCTAAGATTGGTCAGGCATTATATGTGCACCAAGGATAAAAGATACCATTTTCCTTCTCATCATTCTTTCAATAAATTTGAGTGCCTTTTATGTGCTAACGATCCAGTATTAAGGAAAACAAAGTCATTGCCTTCAGCGAGCAAAGTTTAATGAGGGAGATAAGTACTCATGGAAATGTATATGTATAAACTCTAATAAGTGTGATGAAATAAAAATTAAATGTACTGTCTAACCATAAAAAAAGAAACAGTCTAGTCCTAGAAATCAAGAGAGGCTTCCCCTAGTAAAGTGGTTCTCAACCTGTGGGTCGCGACCCCTTTGGGGGTCAAACGACCCTTTCACAGGGGTCACCTAAGACCATCGGAAAACACATATATAATTACATATTGTTTTTGTGATTAATCACTGTGCTTTAATTATGTTCAATTTATAACAATGAAAATACATCCTGCATATCAGATATTTCATTATGATACATAACAGTAGCAAAATTACAGTTATGAAGTAGCAACGAAAATAATTTTATGGTTGGGGGTCACCACAACATGAGGAACTGTACTAAAGGGTCGCGGCATTGGGAAGGTTGAGAACCACTGCCCTAGTACGTGCTGCTTGAGCTGGCAGCTGAGGGGCCAGCAGGAATGAATGGTATGAAAGACAACAGGGAAGAGAAATGAAGGGAGGTATTTTGACACCAATGCCCCTCCTAGAGAATTGATGAGGGGAATTACAATTTTCTCAATTTAGCAAAGAAGTGAATTTAAATTTTTATCCAAATCACAAGTGAATTTCCATTGTAGAAATAAAACCAGAACAATTAACTGCTCATGATAAATGTATTAGAAAAACTCACTGAAAAATCACATCTCGTGATTAAAAGTTGCCAAAATTGACCCTAAAAATGTAGACCTGATAGAAATATTTAACAAAGTAAAACTGCCTATCATTCTTGACCAAATTTAATAGAATTACATCAATTAAATTTAGATTTTAATTTGATCCTGAGTAACTCAATGGCAAAAGCTGTAATTGGAAGAATTTAATATGTGTAAAAAACTGATAGATGAATCAATTCCTTGCTTTGCAATTTACATAGGAAAAAACAATGAGAATGATTTCTGTACAATGAAAATGGAAAAATATATATGTTGTTTTGCTGTACTATATAGAAATCTTATCAAGAAATTAAATTGGTTTGAATTCCTTTAGAAAATGCTTTCTCAACGAAAATCCATTTGTGATGGTATGATTCTCATTTTAACATTTGTACACATAAAGTCAGAATGTCTAGGGTCATATCTGGTATCTGGAGAAGCAGGGGTAGACAGACTAAACAAGCCCTAGACCAAAAGAGGGATAAGCTCTGGGGATTCTTAGAGACCCAAATGCTTGAGGCAAAGAAATAACTGTCAGACATCTTAAGGTGTGGGTGAGGAAAGTAATGTCTATACATTGTGCTAATTCTATGACAGAAGGACATGCTGGTTGTTCAGGATTCATTGCGAAGGCACCAACAACGGGTGGGAAATTAGGGACTTACTTCCCCACCAGTTAAATACTAATCATAATTAATACTCTAAACAGTGCTTACTCTGTGCCTGACACTGTGTGAAGCCCTTATAGATACATTACTTCATTTAGTCCTCACAACAATCACCATGAGGCTAATACTATTATTCCCACAGTACAGATGAAACAGAGTTACTTGCCAAAGAGAACATAGCTAATAATTGAGCTGAGTAGAGCTGAGATTCATATCTAGGCCTGACTCAAGAATAAAAGTCAGAGAAAGATAAATATCACATGATCTCAACTCATTTTGAACAGCATAAACTGATGAACAAAAACAGATCCAGAGACAGAGAAGCATCAATCAGACCGTCAACCCTCAGAGTGAAGGTGGGGGAAGGTGGGGGTTAGGGGGAGAGATCAAGCAAAGGACTTGTAGGCATGCATATAAACCTAACCAATGGACACAGACAACAGGGGGGTGAGGGCATGAGTGGGGGTTGGGAGGCAATGGGGGGATAAGGACACATATGTAATACCTTAATCAATAAAGAAAAAAATAAAAAAAGAATATAAGTGAATCAGAAACATGATGTGTGATTGTAATGAAAGAATAAGATATTTGTTTTTATCTTTTAAAAAAGCTAAGGAACCAAAATTTCTCACACAGTGATGCAAATCTTTTCATTTTCTTGTATAACTTTGAATACCACTGTGTGTGGAGAGGTTGTTACTCAAGGTAAAAGCAGTAAGTGGTAGAGTCAAAATTCAAAATCTGGCAGTTTGACTTCTGAATTCAGACATTAGTCAGATAAAGGAGAGCTAACTGGAAAGGTGTTTTGTTTAAAACATACACATACAAAAACAAAACAAGTGCTCACTTTGGCAGCACATGTACTAAAATTGGAACGATACAGAGAAGATTAGCATAGCCCTTGCGCAAAGGATGACACACAAATTCGGGAAGCATTCCATATTTAAACAAAAGAAAATGGGGAAAAAAAACCGCCCACAAATCTTAAAGGGTGTTATATTCCCTGCTAATGAAAAGCCATTGGAGCCTTTTGGGACTGGATTACCTCAGATTTGTGTGTTAAGATCATCCTGAGCCAGTGAACAGAAGGGGTCTGAGTAGGAAGGTATAATAACACAATGGGAAGAAATAGATTGTTTGGACAAAATCCAGTGACCTTTGGATATGAACGATAAGGAAGAGGTAAGAGTTACAAGTAATTCCCCTCTTTCTGTCCTGGGCAACTGGGAAAATGGCACCGTACACTACCTAAGATAGGGAATGGATGAGAGGATTTGAAGTAAGTGTGGCGTTCAGGTGAAGATGTCTCAGGCTTGTGCTCAGAACACTGCAGGAAATGACCCTTAAAGCTCCAGGAACTGATTTAAAGCCACACAAGAGGAGAGCAGAGTGAGAAGCAAGCCAAAGAATGCCAGCCAGCATTTGTGAAATGGACAGAGGTGAAGCAGTCCACCTCATCTTGTTAGGCAAGTGATATCAGTATGGAAAAGAAATAGCTCGGCCTCATCCTGTGTACTGTGTATTCAATACATTTCATATGGCAAAAATTACAGTAAAAGATCTTTAATATCACTAGAGAAAAACAGACTAGTTTATTTTAGTGGCAGAGAGCACATTCATTTATGAGAGATAGGTGCTTAAAATACCTTTTAAATGTGCAAAACAAAAGAATGGAAATTTAGAGCAATTGGAACTCATACATGGCTAGTAGTAATGCAAAATGGAACAACCACTTTGGAAAACAGTTTGGTAATTTCTTATAAGTTAAATATACAGCCACTATAGAATCCAGTTATTCTACTCCTAGGTATTTATCCAAAAGACAAAAACTTATAATCACACAAAAACCTATATGCAACCCAAATA